CCAATCATTACCACCCAGACGAGGGCCCTCAGTCATGAGGGATGAAGGCTGCAACATCTCCACATAGCCAGCTGCTGTTTGATGCCCCTGCACCACCTGAAGCTCCATTGTTCCATTGAAGGAAAACGCACCGCAAATCATGATGGCGCCCCCACCACTGTGCCGTGTAGAAAACATCTCAGGTGGGATCTCCTTGTCATGCCAGTAACGTTGGAAGCCATCAGGACCATCAAGGTTCAATTTTTTCTCATCAGAGAAGACAACTTTCTTCCATCTTTCAATGTCCCATGTTTGGTGCACCATGGCAAAGTCCTAACGGGCAATTTTGTGGCGTTGAAGAAGACGTGGCCTTTGAAGACGTTCTTTGTTTCTGAAGCCCTTCTCTCGCCGATGCCGTGTGATGGTTACTGGGCTGCAGTCAGCACCAGTAATGGCCTTAATTTGGGTAGAGGATCATCCTGTGTCTTGACAAACAGCCAATCGGATCCTGCGGCTCAGCTGGTGAAATTTTTTTGGGTCTACCACTTGACTTTTTTTGCTTTTGCCATCAGGAGGTCTTGACAGGGTAAAGACTTGACAGAAAATGACATGGAATCCAGATTGTTGCACAGCTTTTGGCTTTTAAAGACTATGGTCTTAAACTTTTGATCGGCTGAAAAAATGTTTGAGTGTAAATGCAGTTTTCAGAAAATTCCTTGTTCAAAAGTTCTTGTCCCTTGCATTGATTTTTTTTTTTCCTTTAACATTGTGAAGCTCTACTTTGAACCTTCTTAAGATCTAATGGTGCAAAATGCAAATTCTTGCAATTTTTTGACTGGTCTTAAGATCTTGATCAGGAGTGTATTTGACATTTTGAATTGAAAAAGCTTCCTGGATGGGAAGAGAAACGTCTTCAAGCTTGAAAACAAAGTCCAGTGTTTAACTTTTTTGGAATGACTATGACCTGGATGACTGAGAATCTTCACCAGCATTCAGCAGGGGTGGAAATCAAAAAGTCACAGTGCTCCACCCTTATTCTCCTTTGTGTAAGAGACCGATCCTCCATCTTTGCCCATTTTTTGTCAGTTAGATGGCACTTGTCACATGTCTTGAGGCTGCTTAGTGTGAACACCCAGTCAGACAAGTCCTTTTGTTGGGCTGTGCTCTGACTTACTGCCTCCTGCTGAATGACACTCCCAAAGGTGTGGCGTTCAGCCTCTTGCTTAATGAACAAGTCCAAACAGAACAAAAAATGTGTTCCTATTTGTCAGACTTTCATCTTCTGGCCTGCTCTGTGTTTAAAACATACAGCAGTAAAAGAAAGTCATGAAATACTTTCCTCACTTTTCCTCTCCTCTTGTTAAAACCCAGCTTTGCTTTGAATGCACTAAAAAAATCAAGTAATCTGTTGGTTTTTGGAATAAGTTACTGCTTTTGTGTTCAAGGCGTTTCTTCATTGCTGTTTCTGTCTTTGTGTTACAGATGGGTCTCACTAAAAAGGACTTTGAGTTAAGCAACTGGACCGGAGTGTGAGGGCGTCCGGCCAATCGGAGGAACCGTTTTTCAAATTTACAACGGACATGAAAACAGGACCAGAACCACAGATTCAGCAGAACTATGATAAAACGCCGAGACCATCTACGCCCTTCCAGTACTTTCTCTCAATGCCGTATCGACTCCTATCATGGATTGTATTCTGCTTAGAGCAGCATGAATTTAAACATAATGGCTTTTTTAAGTTTTTTTTTAAGTAAAAGTCGTTAATGGCAGAGCCTTTCTCACTCTTCCTTCAACAATTTAGCTCTGAACTGGAAAAACGATCTCAAAATAAGTAAAAATGTCTTAAATTAAGTGTATTTACCCTTAATTTGAGTCGGTAAATGAGATAATTAGATAACATCCACTTGAAATAAGACAATTCAATTGTTTTTTCTTATTTTAAATGTAAATTGTCTTGTTCCATTGGCAAAATGTCTCTTTTACCTCCTCAATTCAAGAACAAATGCACTTATTTTAAGAAAAAATGACTTATGTGTGTAAATAGTGCTTTTCATTTTAAAAGGAATTTAGATTGAATATTTTGTGCTTGCCTAATAAGTATGTTAATATGAGGTTTTGTTTAAAATAAAACCAGATATTTGTAAAAGAATCTAATGTAAATATATATTTTTTTCATCTAGGGGAAGATTTTGATAAACTTGCATGCTTTTTAAAGCTTCAAATTAAAACAATCACTTGTGATTAGCTGGTGGTCTAGGAAGTGCTGTGCCAAGTTATATGTATATATATGAACTTACTTTTGACACAAAAATATACAGTTGCCTTTTAAATTTATAAATGACATTGTTGGATATCTGAGCACCTTTTTAGGCCGTTTTAGTACAGAAATACTTTGTATATATAGACTTAAAAAAAAAAAATCACTGATTGCCTTTGTTTTTAATTAATGCTCAATATGTGGGTTTTGCAGGAAAAGTCTTGAAACTGTTTTGTTGTTTCTTACACAAATGTATCATCTGATTTAACTAATAAAGATGTTAAAAGAAGCTGTATAGAGCGAGTTCCCTATGCTGGTATGCAGTTTGCTGTGACAGGCACTGAAGTGTCGGACACACCCTGTTTACATATTTGCTCCTGCTCAGACAGGAACAAAACCTGACGTTCCCTGCTGCACCCTTATTTAGGCTCTCATTTGCTGCAGGTATTTTATTTTTTTTCCATGGGGACAGAAAGTTTGCTGTTCTGTTAAAAACGATGAGTCCAGTGTTTTTAATTACGTAACTTTTAATCATCTTTAACTGTTACCGGCCGTGAAATGAAGACTACTTAAAAAGCAAGGTTTTGTTTCTTTACTTTTTACTGAAGGCACTTGATAAAAATGACAAATAGTTTTTATATTGAAGCATATTTTCTTGAAAACTTTACAAAACTGAGGAACAAATAAGAACAATGCGTGATTGTTTGACAGGAAATGGCACAGTTTGATAATGTACAGCAAAAGGAAAACAGCAGCATGGTGCATATGCATACAGAGGTGCTAGATGCTATAAAAAGCTAAGTATTAAATGTCCTCGGTGACCAGGCAGTAGAAGTCCGAGCGCGCTCCGTAGTTGCGGGATCCCAAATCGGAGACGTCGATGTCGGAAGCTTTTGGTTGAGCTGCTTCAGTGGGAGCTGCAGGAAGGACGGGAGCTTTACAGGCCAGCGCTCTGTTCACAGGGAGACGGAGACCTAGAACAGATCAGAGCACGTTAATGACATCTGCTGTGGATCTAGAAAAAAACTGGGATCTCTCACTGGGTGGTCAATTGATGCATAACTCCTGTCATTTATTAGGGTTTGCAGCAATGTTAAAGTTCGCTTATGTTTTCTGATACGATGCTAAAGGCTCCAGCTTCAAAATAAATATTCAGCCTGACAAGAACACAATGACAACATGGCTAACAGCAGCCCACAGATAAAGGACAAGTGGACGCTCCGATGTCCGGTTCTGGACGACTTATTCTATTCTGGCAGATTTACATTTTCTCTAAAAAAAAAAAAAAAAAAATTCAAACTACGGTGAAAAGACCTTTAGCTTTTTTTAATTAAGAATATTTTTCAATCAAACCAACAGATCATCTCTGCCTTCTAATATATTTCAAACTTTTGCTTGTTCAGATTTTTTATAAAATTTTCATTAACATAATTTCAACCTGGAGAAACTCAAACAGAGAAAATATTTTATTTATTTATACAGAAAACATAATCAGGCCACATAATGGTGCAGTTGGTAGCGCTGTTGCCTTGCAGAAGGTTGTAGGTTCGATTCCTGGCCCTGAGGTCTTTCTGATTGGAGTTTGATTGTTTTTGGGTTCTCTCTGGGTACTCCAACTTCCTCCCACAGTCCAAAAACATGATTGTTAGGTTCATTAGCTTCTCTAAATTCTCCTTAAGTGTGAGCCTCGTTCTGCGTCGGTGTTCCTGCGACCGGGTGGACCCTTCCTCTCACAGGGAGAGAGAGAAGCTGGGCCAGGAGCTAAATGAAGGGATCTTGCAAGATGATTGGCTTCAAGGAATATGTGGCCCCTGAGTTGATTGGCTGGACATTAACGATGGACATGGCAGGAGGTTCAGGTGAAGCTGATAGTCTTCCAGATTGAATTTGCGCTTGAGCTTCATTTACTGGCCATGCCGTTAATTAGACCTGCGTTTCCCAAAGAAATTAGCTTCTTTGCTCAATGACAAGCTATAAAATCACCACAAAATGGGAATAGTCTGAAATTTCTGTTTGTCTCTAATATTAAAAACCTTGAGAATTTGTTCAAGTAGTCATTTCGAGGTTCTATTATCTAAAGAAAACATTCAATTATCTTCTTAACCCAGTGGGACCTTGTTTTCCTCTGTTTAGGTTTTAATTGTTTTACTAATATTAAACAGTAGTTTCTAAAGCCATCCGCTCAGAGCCACTGACCTTCAAATTTTAGTTGCATTCTTCAGCAAACAACTGATCCATTTAGCCACTAACAAGTCCTACAGATGACTTGTAATGAGGACTAGGGAGGCATTAGAAAAGCAGGAAGGAGGCTCTTCAGAGCTGCAGGTGAGTCTGCTATAAAATATTTCTACTACTGAGGTACTCACTGCTTTAACCGACTGGGTTTCTGTCATTTCAACCAATTCAAATCATCCAAATATATTTTCCAGGCATATTACTTCATATTTCCTGTTGGGACATTTTGATGACTTAGTCTACTTCAGTATTTGAATTTTTTTACAAGATTCCAGCTGCGTTTGTCCATCAGGCATTCATTTCAATCAGGTGCAACAAATCCTTAAAGTAACAGATACAATAACGGCAGAATTATTTCCAAAGATAAACAAAGGTTGCACATTAAACCAGGAAGGAGGAGAACACACCTATTTTAAAAACCCTAGAAATCACCTAGAATGGTTGTTGTTTTGTTTTGTGGGGTGGGGTTGGGCGGGGTGTAAACACAGACACCTGACACGCTTGAATATTTTAATAAGAATATTTGTATCCCTGAAATATAAAATAATATAATGGTAAGAGATTTTTATGAAAATGTGAGTGCATGTATAAAAGCACCAAACGTACCTAATTAAAGTAAAATCTCTGGTGGACAATGTCCCCCCCCCCATGCATGAAGAAAGTGCTGAACTGGAGAGCTCCTCCAGTGACAGACTGCTGCACCTTAAATGCACCAGGGACCGTTATCACAGATCCTTCCTCCCAGCAGCTGGAAGACTCTAGAACCACCACTGTTCCCAACAACCTCAA